TTTGGTGTTTTTTTTGTGCTTGCTTGGTTTTGTTGGTTTTTTGTTTTGTTTTTGTTGTTGTTTTTAGTTGGTTTGTTTCCTTGTTTTTTTAACAGATCTTAAGCTGCGATTTTCAGATTTTCTCAAATTCAGGCTATCTGCCCAGCTGCACATGCATAACCATGTCCCAGTTTCTTGTCAGTAACTTGTATAAAGAGCATTCAGAATGCACTGAAGCCATCAAATCTTGTAAGTTCTTCTCCAGACTGGAGATGAGTTACTGGGTATAACTGGGGCATGTTGCATCCACTCCTGACAGTCCTAGAGCAGATGACACAGTTATAGCTTTCTGTAAGTTGGACTGGATTTAGTTATGTTGCTTTTCCTGTAGTCCCATCTTCCAAAGAGACAGACAGGTGAAGTAGGGACAAAATGAAAAGTGCAGAGAGTAAGCAATTTCAGAGATGTCAGAGGACAGATCACAGCAGTGAGTTTAAGAACAGCACAAAAATGAGCGCAGAGTGGGTGAATTCATCTCTGTTAAATTTTTGTGTAGAAGCAAGTTAGAGGCAAAGCTTGTGGACCAAATTCCAGCCTGAGATATCTTGAGGTAAAAAACTCATTTGGATTGTAACACAATTCATGTTCCAGCTGTTGCTGAGGGGTGCTCACACATCAAGGGCTGCTGTGTCTTACGCTGCTCTGCCAGTGACCAGACTGGGGGTGCCCAAGGAGGTGACACACTTGGGATAGCTGATCCCAGCTGGCTCAAGAGATGTCCCATTTCATATCACATTATGCTTACCAATAAAACCTAGAGGAAAGAGGAAGAGGGGATGTTGAGGATTACGGAATTTTTCTTCCCAGGTAAGTATTGAGTGTGATGGAAACCCACTCTCCTGGGAATGGGTAAACCCCTACCTGCCCATGAGAAGAGATTAATCTATTATTCCTTTTTTGTTTGTTTTTGTTGGGTTTTTTTTGGGTTTTTTTTCTTTTTTTTTGGTACATGTTGGTTTTGCTTTTAAAGGGTCTTTAACTCAAGTCACAAGTTTTCATACTTTTACCCTTCCAGTTCTCTTCCTCATCCCGTGCATGGGAAGTGAATGAGTAGCTGTGTGGTACTTAGTGGTCTCCCACAATACCTACTCAAATCCTGCAAAAGAAGGACAACTCTACACCTACTTTTTGCCCCTTGGAGAAGAAGTTTCATATATATCCTCCAGGAAGCTTTCAGTGATGTTAGAAGAGAAGCAAAGATGCAACCTGTCTGCAGCTAGTATCAAAATCAAACCCCCAAATGATAAGAAATTTATTCTGTCTTTAAAGTTTAAATCAACATGTAATGGACCCAATCATCATTTGTTACAGTTTTATAGAAGTCAGCAAGGGAATGTTGATTTATGTCAATTGACAATCTGGACTGAGAGAAATTCTGATATATATTATGTATATTCCCTATTTGGTTTTTTTTATGGCTAGGCATTTTATTAGTTTTATAAAATTTCAAAATGTCAATAAAACAAGAATTTTTAAAAAGTTTGGATGCCATCAAATTATTCTTTGGCAGCACTGACTTCACAGTAGGATTGGATTGTACATTAATGCTTAATTTCCTTTTATTGTATTTTTAACTGCCTTTTTATTATATGTACATTTATTGTTGTGAAATGCCTTGGGATGACTTTGTCAAGAAAGGTGCCATATAAACAAAATTGCATTGATCTGATGATAAGCAGAACAACAATCAAAGAAGTGAGATATTTCCTAATAAACTTGCATATGGCAATACATTGTTAATGTAGTATTTTAGCTTAACACTTTTACTGGTTAAGAGTAACATAGATGACAAGTTACTACTCCCTACTGGATCTTTGATTGACAACTTTACTTCCATCAAACCTCTTCTGCAAACTGTGGTAGAAAGGTTTAATTGTGTTTGTAATTAATTGGATTTTAATCATACTGTATAAAGAAATTGCAGAAGGTTGGTTTTTTTTTTCTTTTTCTTCATTTTTTAAAGCAGAAAAAGCTCCCTTTCAACATATTGCTAGGGATGCAGAAATATTCATTGCTACATCAGTTTGAATAGTGAATTAAAATGCATTCATGTTTCAATACAAAATTGGTTAGATTAGTTAGCATTTGAAGAACAGTTTCATATATTCCAGAGGAAGGGGAAAAAAAAAAAAAAAAAAAAAAAAAAAAAAAAAAAAAAAAAAAGGAAAAAGAAAGAAAATCCCAAACATGAAGCCTAGTTTATTTTAAACCAAACATGTATGGTGTTGAATTGAGCTCTCAAGAAAGGTACGCTCACAGCCCTTTAAATTACTTGCATTGAAACTCATAAACATTCATTAATAATGTTCTATGGGAAATAATTTTCAACTTCTTTTGCATAACGTTGCAGCATCTATTGAAATAATATTTTGCCATATCAGAAAGATAAATCCTAATAAGGAAGGCAATTAAAGCCAAGTGGAGAAACAAAAACTTCCATAATGTTATCTCTAAGTACCAACTGGTAATGAATTGAATGCAGAAATCTATGTGGGAGTTTACAGTCTTTTCGGTGTCTCTAGGATTGGGATGAGTGGGTTGGCCCTTGTCCCCAGATTCACTATTTCTCTACTCTTTCCATTTCCCAGGTCTTCATTAAATCTGTGTCTGGAGAGTTTTATGCATGCAAAAAGGCTGACCTAAGACTTTAACGCCTCTGGGTACGGAGACATTTGCATGCTCCAGCAGTTATATTTAAAACCATTATAAAAGAACAAGAATGGGAGGGAAGCACGACCAAGAGTAACAAGTGTCTAGCAGAATCACTGGAAAAACAAGACTATGGGCTGAGTGCCAGCAACACCATTTAGATGTGCCTATCTTTTTTTATAGCCCATGCTGTTGGGTCTGGTGAGATTTAGTGACTTTCAGTGTCTGGCCAATGAAACATCTAAACAGTGGAGATTTGAGCCAAGGACTCTTGTTCAGAGTTCTGAACCCCTATATCACTTGTTCCATTTTTGGGTCACTCTCCACAGAAAACTCCCTCTAATCTAAGGGAATTGACAGCATACAATATCCAAACAAGAAAAACTGCACTCTTTGGATGCCTACAGATGGCTGGATCAATCTCCTCAGGAAGTGAAATCCCTCTTAATTTGCTTTCCCTCCTGGTATTCTTATTTCATTCTCTTTGCGTCATAGCAACGCAGTCTTTCACATTTAATTTTGTTCCCCTCCTCAAGCTTTCATTACATAGAGCAACATCTCAAAGCAATGCTTGTGGACACCTTGAAGTAAATCATCACAGTCTCATTTCTTCATATTTTTCTGTCAATCAGTTATGTCATGGCAAACAAGAAGGTATAGCAAAGTAATACTAATGAATAATAAAGGTCAGATCCTCATAATAAATGTTAAAGGTCAGATCCCCAGACAATGCTATGAAACCTTGTTTGATTAAGCCTTAGGACTCTACTTTTGCCATCCAAATACTCTTCCAGTACACAGTGATCACACCATTGCAGACATAATTAATTTCTTCTGCCTAAACAATATTTATTTTTTTTTCTTTTTCTAAGAATGTATAACCAAGTGTAAAAGTCCTTGCTGAAGTTTTGTCCAAGCTGCTCCCTCTGTCACCTTCACTGCAAAGAGAGAATGACTCCTCTGCAATGCATCCCCAGTAGTGTATACTTTAAGGTCACCTATGAAAGAGTTAGCTGTACATTAAGTTATACCTTGCTGATAACAAGATGGATTTAGAAAGTGATGAGAAGTGACAGGATACACATGTACATTAAAGCAGATGACAGGAAATTGAAAACATTACTGTAACTTATTAAACATTGATTTTCCAGACATTCCTTGATATTGTTTGACGAAAATAAATGTTAACAGTAACAACAGCAGAAACAATTGGAAAGGAATTCTGGACTTATTTTGGAGCTGGGAGTGAGAAGCAGGATCAGAGAGGATAAGAGAACTCGTGAAAACTGCAAGTATAGGCACTTGGTCTACTGTAAAAAAGTACAAAAATGTTATGGTGTTATTATTGCTAACTAGACTAGATTACAGTAGACTAGAATAGAATAATTTCAGTTGGAAGGGACCTACAATGATTTAATAATCCACCTCATTGACTGTTTCAGGGTTGACCAAAAGTCAAAGCATGTTCTTAAAGACATTGTTCATGCTTATAGACAAAGGGCATTGGCCACTTCTCTAAGAATTCTGTTCCAGAGTTTGACCAGAGGTTCAGAGACTGAAAGTCCATGGAGGAGTGGGGACTTAGGATGTAACTTCTAATTTTAAACTCTGTTCGTGACTTCTAATGATTTCCCTTCAGAGACTTTGGAGAGTTTTGGCTTAGAGACATCCCACAGAGACTGAAATTTGCCACTTTACTGATGTAGAAATATTAACTGCCTTTATGAATTTTCCCAAGTTAATTTATTATTAAGTTTGAATTTTTTTCTTTAATTGAGCATTCTACAGATCAGTCCTGTCCTGAACATTGATCCCAGCTCACAGGGCTGTTCAGAGTCCTATCCAGGACCAAATGGTACTGATATTTGTACTCCTGTTGATAAGCCCTTTAAAAATATTATGGTTTAATTTCAAGTGTCATTTGAACACAGATTGGTTGAACTAATGCAAAAGGGTACAAAGTCAAATATGTTCATTTTAATGAAACTTTCTCCTGAAATCAGTCAGCATTTCTGAAATAAGCCAGTGTTAAACTTCACTAAAGATTTGGGTTTAGACTCATTGAACGAATTAGTAATCTTCAGCAGGAAAGAGGACTGTCTACAGGATGATGTCCAGTGGCTCAACTAAATGAGTGCAAGCACAACTGCATTTACTGGAGGAGTCCTGGGGAGGATTGTCAGTACTGCACAGGGAAGAAGAAACATGGAGAGTGAAGGGGCTCTGTGAGGTCAGGTCAGGTCACAGATGGGGACGGAGGGAGAGGAACTCATAGTGACACCCCAGCTCTGACAGTCTGGGGACTAGCAGCCTTGATATCATCCAACATTGAGCATATGTGGGGTGTCAGCCTCACACCAGGACTGATATATATTGATCCTGACAATTGTCTCATCCCTGTAAGAAGTGGCACAATTCTTGGCTGATCATGGCAAAGCTGGACTTAAAAATATTGTCTGTATGGCAGTAAGATATTAGAAAGGATCAGGATCAATTGGTCCATTTTGGGTAGTCATCTCTAAACCTTCTTCCTCCTGTGTGTCCACCCTAAAACAGGCTGGCATGGCTCATGATGACCTGGGAATGCCCTTGCCTTTGAGTCCCTGTTTAGGGAATGGCTGGGACAGCGCTCCCAGCACAAGCCAAACCTGTGACACAGGCGTGATGAAAATTAAATAGTATGGATGATTACATGCCAGTGCCAGTGCTTTAGCCTGTCTTTTGACTCTTTGTAGTTTATCCATATAGATGCACTCTCTGGTGCCTGAATTTGCATTTGAAGTGCCTTCAAATATGTATTAAATATGGATATGCTATTTCATTTATTTTATATATACCATGCAGTAACGTTTCATTCTCCAACGCATACCTCTGCATACAGATTAGAACAGAAAATATCTTTTTAGGAAGGAGATGTGAAAGTATTAAATATATTACTAAAAGTGTAGCCTCCTCATCTGCTTAGAAATTTTTCATCAAAACATTTTTTAAACCTCTGAGTTCTCAGATCTTTTCTGTAGAAAACATTTGTCTGCATTTTTTCACATGTCAGTGAATATAAACAAAACAAAGCAAAAAACAGAGGTATGTAGTTTTCAAACCTTCTTAATATCTGGGGTTTTACTCCAGCATACTTTCCTTTTCTGTTTTTTGATTCCTAAGAAAGCAGAAACAATAGTAACAGTATCACCACAATTTAAAAATGAACAAATATTGTTCCAAAATCCTCCCAAATCTCCCAAAAATCCTAAGCCATTTCCTGTGAATGTGTAGTCATCAGTCAGGGGTTCTCGGGTGTCCAAGCACATGTATATTTTTGACATTCCTGAGTGTTACTGCTGGCTAGGGCATAGGAAAAGATAAAAAAGACAAAACACTGTATTATTTTAAGTATTTATTTTTCTCTCCTTTTGGAATGATCCTGGCTCCATGGTGTAGTAGGGCTCTTATTGTGCTCGTAATGATCTGAGGATTCTTTGTCTCCATTGTAAGTGGCAAATTATGACACCTTCTGTGCTGAAACTGCTGAGTTGCTGGCAGATTGTTTCTGAGATAAAATACTCCTGAGAGCAAAATGGCAGCTAGGTAAGTCAAAAAGTGTGTAGATGTTCACTGGCTTTGGTGGGTGTCACTGAGAGTACTGGTGCTCTGACGCACCAGGCTCCTGGAACCAAATTTAATTACAAAATGCAATTTGGAACATGTTCAGACACTGTTTCTATCACTGGAAGTTCTACAAATGCACACGTTTTATGAAAGCCTTGCCTGGGGGTGTTCAGAATAATGATACTTTGAACTAAACAGTAAACTTTTCTATCCAGAGAAAAAAGGTGTGATTCTTTTATTGTTATTTTATTATTATTATTTCCCTGCCGTTGTCTTGTTTGTGTGAAGGCTCAGAGGGAAGTTCCCAAGCTGGGTCTCCCAATCCTTCATGAAAAGCAGTGTTTAATTCTTCTTTAGTAGACAGAGATGCAGCCAAATATATTTGCTTACCCAAGGTCCCACAGAAACATGTTGTTAAAATTCAGTGTTCCAAATCCTGAGAACCTGCTCCTGTTTTTCTGGACAGTTAATATTGCTTTAGCTATTTTGACAGAGTAAAACAGTCACTTCCTTCTGAGAAAGCATTTTTTATATTTCCTCTTATATTTCTTTATAGTTAGAGCTGCATGGAACAATATAATGTCAAATCTGAGGACTTGTAATGGGTTCAGACAGCACCTACAACAATGAACCTGTTAGAAAAAAAAAATGACAGTGAGAATTGACTCTGGATGCATCAAATGATATTCAGATGGAGACTCCCATAAAATGCAGATTCCTTCAGAAAAAAGACATCTAGAAGTGTCCACTGGAATTTTTTTTTCTGTTTATGGCCAGATGAGTTAACCTACAGAAGCCTACTAGGGTGAGTCAGTGATTAATCTGCATAACTAATGAAGTCATGCACTTCCTCCTATGCAGATGTAATATAGAGCTGTGTGGCTTGTTCAGTGATGAGTAGTGCATATCATACTTGACACCAGTATAATCTAGAAGGCATCAGTTTCACCTCTGGGAAAGGATTTTCTCAAAAGAAGAGTGGAGTTGGTTTTAAAAACCTTAGGAAAGAGCACAGTTAATGATTCTGACACCCCACTCCAGTAATGAACATATCTATCTCTGAAAATCCCCTCTTACTGAGCTGATTACCAGCTGCAGTGTTTTGCAATGAGTTGCTCACTGCTTTGTTGACAATATAAAATCAAAAGTCAGGCCTATGAGTGAGTTCTTGCCTATTTGACATGGGCTACAGATTTGGGCCTTGATGAGTTTCTACAGTTGCAATGTCAGAGGAAGTCATGGCATCCCAACAGGCATTTGCTGAAGAACAGAGCCCACGTCCAGTGCCAGATGTGGACTGTCTGTTCCACAATCTACTCCACCGTGTCCTTAAGCTGCCAGCCCCTCGGGTTTGGAAGCTCACTGTGCTAGTCTGCCATGAGACCCAGCACTCCATTTATCACGTTCAGTCTTAGATCCATTAGCAACATCTCCTTTGGAGTGCTTTTGTGGTGTCCCAGTTCCAGGCCTGTTAAATAACACAGCAAGGTGGTGTTGGGTCAGGAAACCAAGAGTGACAACAATTCAAGAGACCCATAAATGTCATGACAGCACCCTGCCCTAAACCATGTGAGTTTCAGGCAGCAGAGACAGTGGTGTGACTTGCTTTCTGAAGCTATAACCCTCATACAGTCCAGGGGAAACTAGAAAAAGGGATTTGTTACTAGTGTTTGACACACTCATCTGCAAAAAAAATGCCATGAAGCTCAGGACAAGGAATGACGTCTTTCAAAAAAGGTGGGGGTGGAGTGGAGGGGAAGGAAAAAACCTGCAATACGCAAAGGAAATCCTGAAAATTATTTCCTCCTTTGTTGGTTAATTATCTTTCATGGCTACTAGTCCTGCTGCATCCTCTGTTAGCTGCATTAGTGACCTCTCAGTGAAAGTGACACTCATGTAAAACAAGCATTACTAAAGCCAGCCATTTCCAAGGCAATTTTTACTTATATATAGGCAGGAAGAGCATCACTTCTCCCTGGACCCTGTTTGTGTTCTGATCTACCTAATTTTGAATGAACACATTCAAGGGTGTTTTCTATGGCATCCTTTGCTTCTAGTCATGACAGGAAAAAAAAAATGCTGAGATATCTTGAGACAGGTTCTTATTATGGTATTTTTATGTCAACCAGAAGGATACGAAGTCTATTTAAAAACTATGTTCTTTCCAATATTTTTTGGGGGGAGGGTGTGGTTTTGGGAATAGGGGAGAAGGGCTAGGGGATTGCTATTTACTGTGTTCATACATCTCATGGCTGTTCACAGAACATTTTTAGACCTCAGACATGAGTGACTTTGGCTGCTGAAAACAATACACAACTGCAATGAAACCTATCAATACCCAATAATAGCAATGCCCTATCTTACAGATCCTGGAATCATAGAAAGGTTTGTATTGGAGAGGGTCTTTGGACTGGAAAAGACCATTGAATTGGAAAAGATCATCTAGTTCCAACCCTCCCACCATGGGCAGTGATACCTCCCACTAGTGCAGACTGTTCCAAGCTCAATTAAACCTGGCCTTGAACACTTCCAAGGATGGGACATACACAGCTTCCCTGTGCCTGTCACAGATCTTAACAAGGAAATGCCACTCAATGCACATATCTTTTCATGATGACATGGTTTACATGACTTTAGCTGTGCAATCACAGAGGTTCTACTTTATCAAAGCAAAAGTAGACACCTTCTAAGAAAAGTAGCTGTATTATCTCCAAGCGAAACTGAACCAAAACAAACCTGTTGGTACTGAGTAAAAAGTCTATACATGGTCTGAAAGATGTGTCAGTCATTAGATTTTCCCCTTGTACTCTAGAAACATCAAGTAACTATACCTGTTACATTGGATTATTTTCATTTCTCTCTGTGCAGTCACTCCACAGTCCTCAGTGCCCCAGTCTGTACACAGTTTATATGCCTGCACAAATTTATCCTCATATTCCCTCCTCTTGTACTTAGTTATCCCCTTCACTGAGCAGGATGGAAGTGGAGGCAACAGAAGAAATAGTGACTTTCTCAAGGTCATTTAGAAGGTCTGGTCCCATACTCTAAATTTTCTAACAGTTATGTTAAACACAAAACCTTAAAGTCGCCGCTCCTGTTCTCATGTTCAACAATTAACAAGTACAGCACAACTGGGATATTATAAATGAGTTACACATTTACTGATTACTTAATTATAAATGTAACAGCTCACCATGCTTTCTACAGCTTAAAAAGGACAAACTGTGTAATTTCAGAGACCAAAGACCTTGTTTCCATTATTTTCTTCCTTATATCTCTGCTTTTATTATTTATTTTTTTTTAACAACTCTGTAGTCCATGTGGACAAAATTTCCAAAAAAGCATAGATAGATATTAGGTATTTTTATTGACAGTCTTGGATTAAACCCCTATGGAGACTGTGAAGATCTTCTTTCAAATGTCTTCATAAAGTTTGAGATAATGAAGGTGTCACCGTAGATTTACAAGATGATAGCATTCTATGATGAACTTTATCTTAAAATAACTGCAAGCATAATTATCCAGCATAAATGAGCCTCCAGGGAATAAATTTTCTTGAAAGTGACTGCCCCTAGTCCTATCACAAAAAGGCTGCATCTTCAGCAGCAGCAGTGTACTGGAAAAGGAATCATGAATATGTCTTTCTTCTCTGTACCTGCCTTCAAAATATTCATGTTCTCTGCAAATAATGCCTGCTGGTGCCAAAGGCTATGTACAAAATGAATATCCTTGCTTAAAGAGCCCACTTTAATTTTCTTCTTCCTTTTATTTATTTTTTTTATCTCCCTTCCGATGCAAAGCAAACAATCAGCCAAAGTAGATTAATGGAGAGCTTCCAGCACAGCACCATCCAGGGGAAGATGCATGTTTTCCTTAGGGAAACTTTCCTTAGAAACAATTTGAGAAAGAATTGACAAATGAAAGTTTCAAGCTGGAGCTGGATATTGAAACATTTGTCCTGAAGTAATTAATATATATAAAAAGGAGAATATGAACCTGGACCACCCTACTAACACCTTCTGCTGTTTTTATTCTTGCTAAAGAAAAGCAAACATCTCCACAGGTTGGGAGAGGAAAATCTCATTCTCATTGCACCCTTTTCAAACAAGGCTTGTGTACAGATTGTATAGCAGAATGTTTCTTATCAATTCCTTTGCCTTTGTTTTTCACTTCTTTCCTGGTAATTAAATTACTGAGCAGGAACTGAAGTTGCTCCTCTCTCTTGCAAACAGACCCTCAGAATTTCTGATGGCTGGTTTTCACAGCCCTACCAATGTTTAATTAATAGTAGTTAACAATAGAAAAGAGATGAGCTGATGCATGTTAACCTCCTTGGCTCAGACTTACCAGAACATATGAGAACAGGGGTTGATAAAAGCAGAAAAATCTCTGTCCCATATTGCCCATGGGATGATCACTCCATTCCTCACCTCATCAACTTTCTGCTTTAAAAGTGAGGATATAAACAGCCTTCCTCTGAATAAAATGCAGCTTCTTCAGGGCAATGGAAAGTACAGTGCACTTCAGGGGCTGGACTGAAGTGATGTCTCTGAATGGTTTTGAAATTAATAAAATGAAGACCACATTATGCTGAAAATTGCAGTAAAAAAACCCCAGACCTAGACTGATATCTTTGCAGCAGGTGCAGTGGTAGCTAAAAGTTTTGAAAACTCAGCTGTGTGTATGTGTGAAGACGTGTAAAGCTACTGACTTTTTTTTTCCCACTGTTTTTGTTAAGTTGCTTTGTTTTGATTTTTTGTTTTGTTTTTGTTTTGTTTTGCATTGTGGGTGTTTTTCTCTTGTACGTGTTTCTGGGTTTTTTTCCTTAGGCTTTTCTTTCTTCATTTGTTTTTTAGTTATTGCCGGAGTTGTGTTTTTACTGGTGGGCTTTGGGTTTGGTTTAGTTTGTGGGTCTTTTTGTAGTGTCAGGATCTATGTTTTTATTGGTGGGTTTTGGGTTTGGTTTGGTTTGGGTGTTTTTTAATAAGGATTCATATGTTATGGAAAATAAATTTGATGTCTTGAAAGCTGCACTGGATTCGACCAGGATTCTTCTGCATTGCATGCTGGTGACAATTATGCAGCAATCACCAATCAATTTGGTTTGTTTTGATATGACAGCAATTTGCAAAGCAATCAGGGTTGCCAAACGAAAAAGGCATGGTTAATTGGCATACATGTTGATTTAATACAGATTAAAATATGATATTACTAATAGATAGCAATATTATAAATATACCAATTTAGAGATACTATTTATGCAGAATTAGTCTCAGGATGTGGATTCTTACATTTCACCGTGGTTTTCTTAAATGAAGATGATCTCTACCTTACATTAGAAGTGGGGAACTGGACTGGTGTTCCAAGGAAACTATTATCACTAAAGGGTCTCTACAGACTGCTTTGCAGAGGAGTTTAAATAAAAAGTGGTTCAATCACAGACTGTAAAAAGTGATAGCACTGAAGCACCCATAATGAGAAAAGCTGTGCAATGGGCTGGGATCCAATCTCTTTTCAAAGGTGGGTTGTTTTAAGAGAGAACTTTTTTAGAAAAAGACCAAGTGCCTTCTTACCTTAACTTTCACTCTGACACTAACTTTCAAAAATAATAACCAGTCTTCCAAAAATGTTGAACTTTTCTGGCAATCAGTTTTTGTCCTAGCACAGAAGGCCATAGTTCACTTTCTGGATTCTTCCAAGTTTC